TTTAGATACTCATAGCAATAATTCATTTAAAAATAATAATAATATTATAGAACTGAAGCAACTAAAGCCAAAAGATACTAACTATTCAATGTTATCTACATCTGTAGATCATGTGGTACATGAGAATCATAGCATTTGTAATATAAAAGAAATATTAGATCAAGAATTAACTAATATTACTAACACTGCTAATATAACTTGCAACTCGTATGTGTCCCCTCCTTCCCCCAATCATAGGCAACAAGATGAGGCATCTCTAAGTCCATCTTATCCACTTCCGGCTGTTCCTCCTATGGTCTCAAAAGTATGTCAGTTACCAACAACTAAGGCACAACCCACTGCCTCATTGCATCGAAGATCCAGTGATTCTGATTTGAGCGTTACTCCAAAAGGTAAGCTTTCTTAATTATACATTGATTACATACTATTATTAAAATAAATGCATTTTTCTCTGTTAAAATATTTGAATTATAATTTAATATTATAATTTATATAATTATTACTGATAATACTATGATTGATTTTATTTTAATTGTAAAATCCATTGATTTATAGATAATTTATTATAGATTAAACTTCAAATTACAAGATGACTCATAAAGTGAGTTAAAACTAACAAAGAAGGAATTTTTGAAACAATATATAACAAAATAACATATAATTTCATATAATTCTAATTATAATTAGAAAAAAAAAATTATAAATTATAATAAAATAATTTTTTTTTAAATTTATATTTGATTATATTGAAAGATTTTTTTATTCATTTCTTTCTTTGCCTACTATTTACTGAGTATATTCACTTTATGAGACTTTTTTTTTTTTTAAAAAGTAAACATTTTGTTCTTAGATTAGTTTCTTTTTTTATAACAATTAGAATATTGTAGGCAATTCATTTGGAGCAAATGATAGATCAGTAACTGGATTATTAAAAACATCGACCGCTGTAATACGAACTATGAATCAAGATGCATTTGAAATGCTAGAATATCCATTTATTACAATGCAACAGTATCCATCAGGATTTATTTTGCATATCGGTAAGCATTTCAATTAAATATTTTATTTTATGTTTCTTTACAATTTTATTTTTTTATACAAATAAATTGAATCATAAAGTGTGTATTTTGAGACAGGTGGTCTTGTAAGTTCAAGATCAGTGAAACTTCTTGAAAGAATCAGTAATTTAGAAGAACCTGAAAGTCGCGATGCTTGGTGGAAAGAGGTCAGAATGGAAGTTCGATCGCATGCCAGAGCATTAGCATGTAATGTAGTTATCGGTTATAGAGAGGAAACTAGTATTTGGTAAAAATTAAAATTTAAATTTATTTTATAATGATATTATCTTATGATATTACTTGAAATAAGAGGATTATCTCTTTGTAGCGATGATGTTTGTGTATTAAATGCATACGGTACTGCAGCAATAATCAATCTTCATAGTTCAAACCAGGAATCAGACAATGTTTTTATCAGTAAAGGACAATCAGGATCCGGTGTTAATCCCACGGAAGCAGAACGTGAAAAAGCTCAACAGAAATCTGTACCTGTAAAAGTAGAAAAAAGTGATACAGATACATCTGTACCAAATTTGATACAAACCAGCAAAACAAGGCATATTTCAGAAAGTAGAGATCATGAGATTCAATTTCAAAGCAAATGTAGTCTATGTCATTTGCCATACAATGAAGCAAGCGTTCCATTTCGCGTAAATGTTTCAAAATGCGCCATATGTAAACGTGCCAGAGTACCAGATGTAATGTTTACTACTATAGAGTTACCAGAAAATCTTCTAACGATCGGTCGAGGATGTATCATTCAAGCTACTGCGTGTAAAGCTAAAAAGGATCTTAGAGGAGAATTAAATGCGAAGGAGATATCAGATTGCTTGCCATTTTTAGAATATGAATTACATAGTTTACTCTTAAATAAGTTAAAGGTTAAGGGAATGAATGCGATATTTGGCTTAAAGCTACAAGTTTCTGTTGGAGAACGATTAATTATTGGTATGGCCGTGGGTACAGCTGTTTTTTTAACTGCATTACCTACGCCCTCTATCCCACAAATTGCGTCTGGAAATTCTTGGCATAAAGAAGAGCAATTAGCTGAAATTCAGAAAACTTTAGTTGAAACAGTCAAACAGAACAGAGAGTTTTATCGACTTAAACCTGTTGGAGTAAGTATTATTAATTATTTTTGAAATTAAATAATATAAATAAATTAATTTTTCAGGATATTGAAAATGGACGAGTTACAACTTCTGATACTGACGAATCAGACGATGATTTACCGGATTTAGATTTTAGTGTGGGTCCAAGAGATACTTGTGTATTAGAAGTTGATGATATTGAAGATATGGATAGAATATCGTTATTGATGGATGACAGACCCCCAGAGGATTTCCATGTAGTAAATACTCAAACAATTCCTGGCTTAGATGATTTAGAAATCGTGAGGAATTTACAAATGTTTACTCAAATTTCAAGAACAAAAATTCCTGCTGGACAATTTGCATCAATGCCTTCTAAATTTTTCGCCAGGTTACTGCAGGTATCTTTCTGTTGTTATTTATTTACTAGAATCATTTTTTCAGTTAAAAATTAATTGATTTTTGGTTTTAGTCTGTATATTTTAAATTAAGAAGAATGATTCCTTGTGCCCTATGTGATATGCAATTTAAGTTAGCACTTCCTGAACCAGATGAAATACAATTTACAGTAATTGGTATGGCTCTTGGATTAGGAGATCCAATAAAAATGAATAAATCTAAAAAAAAAATGATAAGCCATTCTGCAAGTAAAGATCAAGTTAAAAAATTAGGTAGAAATCTTAGTTTTAGTTAAATATTTTTAAGTATAGTAATAATTATCATATATAATGAAATTATTATATATTTAGATGATAGTGATATGATATTTAATCTTGATGTGGATCATACAGAAGTTTCATCAGATAATGCATCAAGCAGTAATCTAAATTTAACTACCTTACATAGTATGCCATCACTGAAATCTCGGACTCGTTCTCCATTACGATCCAAAAACATTCATACAACGCGTAGACACAAACATGTAAATATGTTAATAGAAAATGTTAATAGAATAATAGAAGAATTATTTTAGAAAATATAATTAAAATGATTTGTTATATATAGGTGCCTTTAAAAGGAAGATATGGTGTAGATATAACACCTTTGTCTTACCTACCAGGTGGTCGTATAGAAAGATACTTAGGAAATTTAAATTTCTTCTTCATTCGTGAAAGCACATCTATTAGAGAAGTTAATATTCTTGTACATGAATATATATAGAAATTAGTAAATTAATAAAAATTAATAATTTTCTTTCTGATATAGAATGGAGGTCTAAGTGGATTTACCCATAGTTTCGTAATGGAAGTTTTAGCAATTGTTCGCGCGCATATTACAGCTTTGGGAGGTAATGCAATGGTAGCGTTTTTTATGACTAAATGTGTACTTCTTCACAGTCCACATAAAAACCAAGTACGTATAACAATTTTTTTATGTTTTATGTTTCAAATTCGTTTGATCATATGAAATTAAAAGAAATTATATCTTAGGGTCAATGTTTGATAAACGTTGGTGGAGATGTAGTATCTGTATCGTATTTCGCGGATGAAAAGCAATGTGGAGTTTCAAATTGCTGACCCCAACCTCCACATTCTGCACCTCCATAGCTACAACCTTACTCTGAGAAGCAACGTCGAAAATTTGACTTCTCTTTGATCGATGAACTTCATTAGTCGTCTTGGACGGACTTGTATCTCATAATCCCGTGATAGGATAGGGTTTGTAAATATTCGAATTTTTAGTGTACGAATACGATAACGTAGATAAGTTCATGAAATTTCGTACATTTAATCAAGCGGCTTTCATCAACAAAATCGATAATTACAAAACGCACACGTTCGATTAAGCACGATTTTAGAAACATCTTTTAAAGAAATCTAAAAATATGTAGTTTTGGTAATTGGGTGCCTTCCGAATTGTACATAAATTTACAAATAATTCTTTCGTCCAACGAAGTAAATAATTCTTGCAGGTAAATTATATAATTTAGGCATCTGAATGGAATTTAATTTTTTTTTTAATGCAAAAATAATAAAATATAAGTAGGCATTTTAAATTCTGCAAAAAGGTTATGGTGATTGATGTTAATGTGGATAAATGTTAATTTTTTTCGGAAGGTAACAAGAATAAATACTGGTTTGTAAAAATGAATTTGTCACAACATTTAAAGATTTAGCAGATTAAGCTAAATTGATTAGATATTAGAATAATAAAAAAAATTGTACAAGCGTTCTCGATAAAGAGAAATAATTTGTCTTACAATCTTTTAATCTTTTAAGATTGTAGAACACAAAGCTGCATAAGATGTACAAAATTAGAATCCTTAATAATGTATGGCTTAAAAAATACCTTGTACATTTGGATTGTTATGCATGCATCTCTAATTCTTTAAATTTGATCATTGTTTATGTTATATGTTATCGTACTGATTTGTTTTTCATCAATCTAACACTTATTGTGCGAAATTTAAATCACACGATAAATGTAAAATGTGTTTGTTTTTTATTATGACACAATTATGAATAATTCCTTATGTTATAATGTGATTAAATAAAAAATTGTCATCTAATTAAATTTCTTAATTTATCTATTAAATATTGTTTTAAAATATTTTATTTATTTACCTAAAAAAGAAGAAAGAAACTAGGGTTTTTTTATTTTTCAGTGATACAAAATAATATTCAGTTTGTAACTTTATTATAACTTTGACTGTTGAATATTAATAAATGATTAATATACTATAAAATAATATTTAGAATTAATTATTTTTAATATCTCCTAATTATACTTCTTTAATGTTAGAGATATAATTTAAAAATATAAATGCTAATAATAATTTTCTTAAAATATACGATAAAATAAAACTGACTAAAAGCAAAAATAAATAATTTTTTATTAGTCCAAGTTGTTACTGCTTTCACTATTGAATTTATTTATAAGAGAGAAAAGATGAACTTTTTTAAATAATTTCTAAATAAAAGTCGCACGATACACAAGTAACTCGTCGTGATTTCATTAGACACCCATTACTTTTGTATGCTTATAGGAAGAAAAAAGCACAAATTGATATAATATGAATCTATCGAATAAGAATCTCGAAATGGACCTGCAGACATTTTTTTCATAGCTTGAACGATGAATTGAACTGTTTGATTTTTTCATGTGCGAAATATCATTTGCTCGATGTCTAACGACGTCTTCCAAAGCGCAGAAATACATGATCGACATCTTGTCTTTTTACTCCACTGTCTAATAACGGGATGCTCTCGTGAAAGCCTATAAAATATAATTTTTATTACGATCGTTATATTAAATACTTCTTCTTCTTTAATATATATTCTTTTTAATTTAAAACATTATATAAATAATTAAATAAAAGAAACACCTGTTATATGATTTTCCTTGTCATCAATGTAGCTCTCCATTTCTGAACCAAGCTCGTATATCCTGGAAAGTGCGACACAGACTTTGCGGATCCTTGGAGGAAGATCATCAAGGAAACCAGGATTACATTGAGTTGGTAAAGCTGCCAAGACATTGTTGCAGAATATTGCCATGGTCGTCATTGAAAAAAGGATGACAATCGTTGAACCCATCATGCTTGTAAAAAAGTAGAATATGTATTTTTAACATAAATGTACATTATTATTTATAATGAAATAAAATAAAATATAAATTTTTATCAAAATATATCTTTTATTATATTAATAGTAAATATTTTATCTTTAAATTGTGATGTAACAATATGTAATTGGAATTCTTAAATGATTAATTA